ACTGTCCGTCGCCATGACGTTTTCAGTTTGCCTCAGATACACTTTCTTGCTGGCGTCCACCTGAGGGCAACTTCGGTAGTGTTAATGCAGAGACTAAAAAAACACAATGGAAAATCTCCATTGAGCATACATTTTCGTCCAGGACGAGGCTTAATCTGTGTCTGGGAAACTGGCCCTCACTGTTTTGACAAGAAAGGGACAAAGAAGTCAGACAAGACTTTTAGGAAGGTTTGTATTTTTGACAATGCACAATACAATAAAAAAAGTTTATAAATAAAAAAATGGGTACAATTCACATTAAGATGTCACAAATTTTTTTTTTTTACATAAAACATCTATTGAGGCTCTGGGGTAAACCCAGTTACTGCTTCTTTCAATTTGAACCTAAACAAATTAAAAAATCTGAAACATCCCCAATAGTGAAAAACACTAAATCAAAATACTGTACTATACCATAAATCAAAATAGGCAAACAATATCTGTATCAAATTGTTTCTCAGATGGAAAAACAGATTGACGCTGAACAAAATTCAGAATAATTGCCATCCATTTACAGTCAGACTCTTTTTGCCAACATCCTTGATCAATAAATAAATTCATCAAAAATGTGTAATGTTTTAACTTCACAAGCAAATAGGTGACATACCGTATGTGTCCCTATGGACCATGTTCAAAAGTAGTGCATTACTTAGGGAGCCATTTGGGACGCACAATACGGTCTTCTGAATAACCCTCAGGGCCAAGACCCGTCAGACCAATCTATGGTATTGAATTCATTTGATTGAGAAGCTACATGAACCTATAGTGAAGCAACAGTTAATCTTCCATGGCTCAGAACATTTACAGATCAAATTCATGAGAAAAAGGGAGAAAAAAATAAGAAAAAAATCACAAATTTGCAGTCTTAAATGTACATTTACAATATTTGCAAAGTTGCCTTAACATCTAGCTTTAAGCAGTTGATTTACAGATTTAAGGGTGTTCGTATAATGGGCACTATAACCAACGGATCAAAATTGCATCAAAATGATTCAACAACTGGAAATGAAGCGATTCAGTTTCCTTAAATCTGTACAATTTGGGCTATTGTGTTAAGGCTACAGTACCGCCACGGTGAGGTACCAAACGGATGAAGTAGCAGATATTTTTAGTATCTCTGTTTACTATGCCATTTCAAAAGAAACCTGACCTTCCTGTGTAAAAACTTAGCTAACATAACAGAATTTGAAGATACACGCAAAGAACTCATGGGTTATTTGGCTGAAAGGCTTAACTGTTGGTGTATATTGTCCATCTGTAGGTAAATGACAGGCTCAACATGAAGTACTGCATTTTATTCTTTAGCAATACTTTCCATTCACGCCCCTTCTTTTAAATACCTAAATCAAGGATCACAACGCGTCAGATTTCAATGCAAACGTGGCACTGATGCCGTGCAGCAACTGACAAGAGAAAACAGAGTAGAAGGCATTCTGTCAGGTGCAGAATTCATCCATCAGTTCACGCATCCATTCATTAGCAGTGGCCTGGCTACGGTGGTAGCTATTGATGCACATGAAAGTAGGCTTTGTCGGAAGTCCTACCATGGTACGGTAGATACAGGTAACTGCCAAGATACAGGAAACACTAACATAGTGTTTTAATAGGGTGTTGGGCCACAATGAGCCGCCAGAACAGCTTCAATGCACCTTGGCATAGATTCTACAAGTGCTTGGAACTCTATTAGAGGGACGTGACTCCATTCTTCCACGAGCAATTCCATCATTCGGTGTTTTGTTGGTGGTGGTGGAAAACACCTTCTCAATTGAATCCCTCATTTACTCAAGTGTTTCCTTTATTTTGTCAGTTACCTGTATACGGGTAATTCTTCAACTATGGTACTCTTTGAGCTAGACAGTTTCAGAAAATAAAAACATTTCTACAAACAATTTTTTAGTATCAGTTGGTTTCTCAATCTGTCTGGAAACCTTCCCTGAAGTTGGCTGTGATGATTTGTATTTACTAATATATATTTTTTGCCATTTTTATCTGACAGTCCAAGAAAACGGTCATTTCCATCACATAACAAAACATGTATTTTTAAGAGAAAATAATGAAATATCTTCTGTTATAAATATATTTGATTAAATAGCACACACATATCTGTTCAAATTTGTAATTTATTATTTTTTTCAGAAATGTAACTGTAAAGATTTTACAATGTTTACACTAAAAAACACCTAAAACTAGGTCAATGGAACATTTCATTTTCTTATCATAGCTCAAAATCATATATTTCTCAAAGTGTATACACAAATCTTAGCCCTAACTGCACAATTATCAACACCACTGAATATAGTTGGTTTGATTGTATGTTTTTTATATGTTTTACTTTAAAATATGTGTTGTGGTGGAAATGACATGGCGTGGCGGAAGAGACAGTGTGTGGCGGAAATGACAGATAGGCAACTTCCAATTAAAAACAATTTTTCTACTGCTCTATGTGGTGAACCAGAGCAAATCAATAAGCAACAGCATTTGTGAACAAAAACATATCACCAATATTTTTAAATTAAAAACAATCCAAAAAATGAAAAAACATGAATTTGTGTTAAAAATCAGCAAATCATTTCTTCACTGTTTTCTACATGCTGAACTAGAGCAAACTAGTACAAACTAGAGCAAACCCTTTATGTCATCATTACCTTAACATTTTATTTTTCATCTTTGTAATTGTCTCTTTCTTTCCAGTAGTGGCCCTACTGTTATCGTCGCGTTCTAAAAACTTTGTTATCTTTTCCTTCACTTCTTGGCTGACTCTGTTTCGTTGTGTTTTGCGGGTGTATTTGAGTTTGTCGGCCCTTGTCATGTTTGTCCTGATTAGTTTTGTAGAGAATCCAAACTCCTTCTTGGCCATGGTGACCAGGCGGTATTTTTTTAAGATCTTGCCAGCCACAAGTTTGGAGATCAGTTGCCGAGCTTTACGATTGTCAACATTCTGATACTTTTTTCTTATTTCTGACATAATGGTGTTATGGAATAGGAGTGTCTTCTTTAATTGCTTGCTTTCTTGCTGCATCTGTTGCTTTGTTTTCATTTTAGGTGACTCTAGGATCCCCAGGTTCTTCTTCAGTCGATTACTTCTTTTTTTGTATTTTTCAACTTTTCTGAGGGCATCCTCAAGCTTTTGTTTAATGTCATTAAGATCTCTGTACACCTTTGCTTTTGCCTTCGCAACCTTTTTTCTCCCTCTTTTCCTCTGTGGAGTTCTCTCTGGTGTAGGCTCACACAGCTGAGGTGTTTCAGGGATGTCTTCTGCATTAACACTCATGTTGTCTGGTGATGTTGTATGTGCCATGAAACTATTCACTGCTGAGACCATTTTCCATTTCCTACGTCTGTTTCGTTGAGAAATTCGCCACTGTCTTCTCATTTTTCGTTGTTCTCTTTTCGGCATTTCTGTCACAGATTTAACAACACCTTGTTGCTTTTTCTTCAGGTATCTTTCTCTGTCCTTCTTGAGGGACTCTGCATATTTAAGTGGATCTGATTTTATTCTTTCTCTGTATGATCTTGACCTCTGTGCTGTGGTATTGCTTGCCATCTTAAAGAAAGAGCCAAGACATCATGTCAAACCTACTTATCTATTGTTCTCTTATTTACCAACAATATTGTAATATTGTTAAAACTGTTTTTGAATTTAGTATCAGTATTATAGCCCAAATAATTTGCTGTTTAGCACGAACAATGTCATTTCCACCACAACCTGTCTTTACCACCACAATGAACACCGTGGTGGAAATGACTGTGGTGGAAATGACATTTCCCCACTTTCCCTCTAAAATCTCATGCTATGTTAGCCTGCTAATATTAGTTTTAGAGTTAGCATTAAATATACACAAATTACACATTAAATTAAATGTATCCAGTTATTTTTACGTCCATGTGAAATATGAGCTGTTTGGAAATGACGACCAATAAACATACTCTCAGTTTTACTCATATTTACCTTGATTTTTCTTCTTTTCATTACCCCCTGTAGAGGACACCATTTCATCCAGCCATGTGTTCCACTGTGGAGTTTCTGTTGCTATGGTTACTAAATATACAAACCTAAAACACTGATCCCAGGATTCTATTTTGTACAGTGTGGTGGAAATGACAGTGACCCCAAGGGACAAGGGTTCTATTTATGAAAAATATAGGAAAATGTGAATATGTATCACAATATATAATATGTAGAATTGAAATAAATGGTATTTTATTATTTGTACTTGAAATCTACATTATTTAAATATTTAATTTAGAATTAAGCGAGGTTGAAGATACAAAGTCTGGCTTAGGGACAGAGGGAAAACAGTAAAAACCATGCATAAAAGGCCTCATATTATATAATAAAAAGAATGATTGAGCCATGATACATTTTTTATAAGTTCCCCTTAGGGTGGAGTAAGTATGACAAAAACAAAAAAGAAGAAATGTTTTTTAGTTTTTATTATTTCATCCAGGGACAAGAAAAGTACCATAGTTAAAGAATCACCCATACACAAAGCAGTGCATCTTCTATTGTAGCTCTGAGAAGAAGCCTGGTTTAAGAGAAGGACTAACGAACAACACAGAAAGAATATCCTACACCTCTCCTTTAACATACCAGTATAAATTGGCGAAACAACCTACACGAACACAGACAAGTGGTTGTGTCAGATCCAGAATGCAACAAGATTCTGCAATAAAAATTCATAAGTGCATCTTCTGCCTGGCCTGATTGGTCTTTCATGTGGTGACAAAAACAAAAAATACCTATGCAATACTTCATTCACAAACAGCAGTCATAGGCTCAGAATATAAAATGGAAAAAAAATACAACCCTGTAAAATATAAGCTTAATTTAAATAATTAAATACTGTACATAAGATTTCAGAGCTAGGTGACCACCGACCTCACCTTTCAGCATAAGTTTTGTTTTCTATCCATCCCAAATGGCACACTAAATAGTACACTACATTGGGAGCGATTTGGGAAGCACATACAAAAACGCTGCACGAACCACACAGCAAGCACGAGGCCCTTTAAGCTAGTTTAAAACCACACATCATCCAACCCACCACCACCCATGACCCCCGCCTCACCCTTCTTCTATTGTAAACACCACCACCCATGACCCCCGCCTCACCCTTCTTCTATTGTAAACGTCTCTAGTATAGCATCAGAACCTTATCCGTGCTGCTCCGTGAGGTGTGTGGGCCCACGTTGGGACCTCGTCCTCTTCAGTGTATGACTTTCACCCCAGTACTCAGAGCAGTCAAGAGAGACAGACGGCAGAGATATATCCTTGTCCTCGACTTGACCTGTCTGTTCACCTCCGTCATATTCATTGAGGAATGAAACAGGACGTTCCTCAATCTTTCAGACCGTTTTCTTCAGCTTGGTGCCAAATGAACATGGAAGACTAACCAGTCAGTCAGTCAGTCTCAGTCTACCTCTCCCCTACTGTGGTACCCGCTCCCCCCCTCAGTGGCTTCCTCCCTGGTTCCCTTCAGCGCTCCTGGACACCAGCAGCAGGCCCAGGGTGAAGACCCCGGCGGCCAGCAGCCTCCTGAGCAGGGCGCCCCCATCCTTGGGGATGGCCACCTGGGCCAGGTCGTTGGTGATCAGGGAGATCTCGTGGGCCACGCACACAAAGATGAAGGTGCTGATGATTATGTTGAGCGAGGGGTTGCCTGGGATCAGTACCAGGATGCCCTTGGTGTCCGCCGCCAGCCAGATGTGGTATTGGCAGATAAACAGCTGGGGGACGGAGAGGGGGGGGGGGGGGGGTTGAGGGTGTTTGGGTACAGAAAATGACATGTTTCATGAGGTCAATGCAATAAACGAAATTCACAAGTATCATACAGAAATTCCGCTGATACACAATGAGTGCAGCATCCCTGCCAGCGGCATCCATCTTACCTCCAAGGAGAACTTCCCGAACCATGCGAAGAATGAGCTGTATAAAGAGCGGGAGTAACCAGGAATGTTCCTGATTAAGATGAAGGCTAGGATCTGAGAGGAAGAAAGACATCCCAGCCTGTCAGATCAACTGTATCAGAGGGAGGGGTTTAAGCACATCCCAATGCTAACGGGGGCTGGACCAAAATTATCCAATACGTAGAAACAAGGGAACGTCGGCTCACTGTTTCGTTTGAGAGCAGCAAAACAGTGAGTGGACATCACATTTTTTCGTTTTCTAAAGATGAAGTGTAGCCCATGACACATTGTTTATTCTTCTTCGGCTGGGCTACAGTAGAGTACACCCATCCTGTTGTCGTAGAAGGCAACTCACTCCCTTGTCATTTTGGGCTAGGTATATCATAGCCTAAGAGGGGATACTAATGGAAGTATATTCTTAAGATAAATGCTAGTTTCAACTAAATCCTCTAGGCCACAGGCGCCATTATTTAGCCTACCCAAAGGTGATGTGTTCTCTAGTTATTGTTTAACGGAGCTTCGGCCAAGTCAACATTGGTGAAATCCATGTCTGTCAACTACAGTATGTTTTGTAGCAGAAGGTCGAAGGTGTGCATAAAGTGTTTAAAGATGTTCACTAAACTACTTGACAAATAAGGAAAATTGAATCAGTGTATGGCAAAACTACTGCGAGCATGGCTTTGTCTGTGACCAATGGGAAGCAATGTCTGACTTCCTACTGTATTTACCTGGAGCCCTGAGATGTAGGGATGCATCTCGTTGCACTCAGTCTTGTTTTTACAGCTGCTGGCCCATATGGAATAGGTCTGGAACAGATGAAACACGGAGTGGTTAGGAAAGTGTTGTTCAAGGTAAACAATGTAAATCAGGTAAGAGATATCTTCCATAGGAGATTTGTTTGACCTCAAGAGTATGAATGTTTACTTATTCAACTGTTGTTGTTTTTTTTTTTATTGAGGGTAACTATGAGAAAAGGTGATCGATATACTCACCTGACTGGTTTAAAGGAATACTACACTCCTATGACGCAAAACGCATCATAATGTTTTACATTTTAAATCATCTCAGTTTCCGCTCTGTACTGAAAGTGCTCCATCTTGAAATATTCACTGCTGACATGCACAATGATTTAGGGATTGTTTTAACAGTGGACTAAAGAAAATTCTAAAGGATAGTTTGTGAGTGTAGCATTTCTTTAAGAATGGTTAAATACATCAAAAGTTGTCCTCTTTTACCATGAATGACACCACAGAGATGAAGAGTAGAATGTTGGAGATCCTGGTGGAGAAGAGAGGCTCTCCTTTCCCCTCGGAGAGGACCTGGCACTTCTGCAGCACCAGGTAGACAAAGGCAAACAGCATGCCGTGGATAATGGCCTGAAAGACACAAAGTCAAACACACACATTCAGTTAATTATATAATAATAATAGCCATTTAGCAGATGCTTTTATGCAAAACAACTTAGTACTGTGTGCATACATTTTTGTATTGGTGGCCACAGTCGGAATCCAACCCACAAAATATTGACGGTTCAGGCGCCCTGCTCTACTAACTGAACCACACATGACCACTTACTCTAAGATCGTTCTATGGGTTAGACAGTAAACACTCAAACTGAAAAATCAAACGTCGACCAATAGATTAATCTAGTTGAGAAGTTTTTGGCGCAACTTCCTTAGAGATATGATATTCTGATACCTTAATATGAAAATATAATAGGATAGAGCAACTCAAAGGCCGCGATACGTTTTTTTTCTCTCACTAATTGGTCAGTTGGCCAATCACGTCAAATCTTTTTCAGAGCTGATCTGATTGGTCAAAAGACCAATTAGTGAAAACAATATCAGAATTGGGATGCCTGTCTAAACGTAGCCTAAGAGTGTCGCAACACGTTCAAATATCTACTTACAAATCGATCCAGCTTCCACCTAAACCACCACTCATGAATGCTTCCGTTCAGCTCAAAAAGCTTGGAGATGGGCCATACTGAGAAAATGTTCTCAAACAACCCCTGGAAAAGAGAGACAGTAAATTAGTTAAACATCTGCTGATTTAGGATCAGTTTTGACTTTTAGATTAAATCAGAATTATATTACATGGGCGGAGGGGGGGCCTGATCGAAGAACACCACTCCTACTCTGAAACGGTTTATGAAATGACCCATGCCAGTTGAACTTTGTCGTTTAATTTGAAATATCAAGAGATAATGTCTCTAAATGAGTGAATAAACTGGATGAACTCACCTGTGAATACGTAAAGAAGGAGATTAACAGGAGTAGCCCAAGCAGTTTCCCTAGAATCCCAATGTGCCACATCCCACTACCTGTAAAAAGACAAATGACTAAACTCACTGTGCTGGACAGTGTTTCTTCACAATTCAACACTAGTATTATTTTTTTTACAGGGGAAACATTGAGACCTAGGTCTCTTTTACATACGTGACACATACTCAGCAAAAAAAGAAACGTTGTCTCACTGTCAACTGCATTAATTTTCAGCAAAATGTGTAAATATTTGTATGAACAGAAGATTTAACAACTGAGACAAACTGAACAAGTTCCACAGACATGTGACTAAAAGAAATTGAATAATGTGTTCCTGAACAAAGGGGGGGGGGGGGGGGGGGGGTCAAAATCAAAAGTAACAGTCAGTATCTGGTGTGGCCACCAGCTGCATTAAGTACTGCAGTGCATCTCCTCCGATTGGACTGCACCAGATTTGCCAGTTCTTGCCACCAAGGCACCTTCAAGTCCCCGGACATTTCTGGGGGGGGGATGCACTGCAGTACTTCTGGCCTTAGCCCTCACCCTCCGTTCCAACAGGTCCCAGACGTGTTCAATGGGATTGAGATCCGGGCTCTTCGCTGGCCATGGCAGAACACTGACATTCCTGTCTTGCAAGAAATCACGCACAGAGCGAGCAGTATGGCTGGTGGCATTGTCATGCTGGAGGGTCATGTCAGGATGAGCCTACAGGAAGGGTACCACATGAGGGAGGATGATGTCTTCCCTGTAACGCACAGCGTTGAGATTGCCTGCAATGACAACAAGCTCAATCCGATGATGCTGTGACACACCGCCCCAGACCATGACGGACCCTCCACCTCCAAATCGATCCCGCTCCAGAGTACAGGCCTCGGTGTAACGCTCATTCCTTCGACGATAAACGCGAATCCGACCATCACCCCTGGTGAGACAAAACCGCGACTCGTCAGTGAAGAGCACTTTTTGCCAGTCCTGTCTGGTCCAGCGACGGTGGGTTTGTGCCCATAGGCGACGGTGATGTCTGGTGACGACCTGCCTTACTACAAGCCCTCAGTCCAGCCTCTCTCAGCCTATTGCGGACAGTCTGAGCACTGATGGAGGGATTGTGCGTTCCTGGTGTAACTCGGGCAGTTGTTGTTGCCATCCTGTACCTGTCCCGCAGGTGTGATGTCCGGCTGTACCGATCCTGTGCGGGTGCTGTTACACGTGGTCTGCCACTGCGATGACGATCAGCTGTCCGTCCTGTCTCCCTGCAGCGCTGTCTTAGGCGTCTCACAGTACAGACATTGCAATTTATGGCCCTGGCCACATCTGCAGTCCTCATGCCTCCTTGCAGCATGCCTAAGGCACGTTCACGCAGATGAGCAGGGACCCTGGGCATCTTTCTTTTGGTGTTTTTCAGAGTCAGTAGAAAGGCCTCTTTAGTGTCCTAAGTTTTCATAACTGTGACCTTAATTGCCTACAGTCTGTAAGCTGTTAGTGTCTTAACGATCGTTCCACAGGTGCATGTTCATTAATTGTTTATGGTTAATTGAACAAGCATGGGAAACCGTGTTTAAACCCTTTACAATGAAGATCTGTGAAGTTATTTGGATTTTTACAAATTATCTTTGAAAGGGTCCTGAAAAAGGGACGTTTCTTTTTTTGCTGAGTTTATATATACATACATTAGTCCATTCAGAAAGTATTCAGACCCCTTGACTTTTTCCACATTGTTACATTAGCCTTATTCTAAAATGGATTAAAAATTAAAAAAATCCCTCATCAATCTACACAGAATACCACCTGTGGGACCTTATATAGATAGGTGTGTGCGCCTTTCCAAATCATGTCCAATCAATTGAATTTACCAATTGAAGGATGATCAATGGAAACAGGATGCAGCTGAGCTCAATTTGTAATATCATAGCAAAGTTTCTGAATACTTATTTACATAAGGTATATTTTTTTATTAGTAATACATTTGCAAAATATTATAAAAACCAGTTTTCGCTTTGTCATTATGGGGTATTGTGTGTAGATTGAGGATTTTGTATTTATTTATCCATTTTAGAATAATGCTCTAATGTTATAAAATTTAGAAAAAGGGGTCTGAACACTTTCCGAATACACTATATCTACACACCATAAATATACACATTATACAAAAAACACAGTCATGGGAAGCGCAAATAAAACATCACCAATCAGAAAAGTATGAATCACTTATGAATTATCAACAATACTTAGCTCACTACTACTACTTTAACTGACTACAACTGCTCATTACATTTCTTACCTTTTAAACCCTATTTTATATAATTAGTGCTACTTGTCCAGTACATTGGCTGACCCATACTGACCGTTTGCTTTCTTCTGCAGTATCTGGGGCCACATGGCCATGGTGGCGTAGATGATGACGAACCAGAAGGTGACCAGAGGCACAAAGTAGTAGAACTGGTAAGGCCGGTCCATCACCAGACACAGCACCACCACCAGGAAGTTGAGACGGAACAGGACCTGTGGAGAGACAGGAGTAGGGTGAAGTTGCTCCTAAACGCTGACCTTGGGTCAGTTTAGCATCTTCCCCACTAATAGTTGAAGTTAGGATTGGGGGAAGGGAGGATTATCCTAGATCTGTACCTAGGGGAAACTTCCTCCCAGAGTGGACAGACACAGGAAGTGATCACATTTAAGCAATAAGGCATGAGAACCCAGGAATTAATCGTGTAAATAACTCCCAACTAAACTCAGCAAAAAGAGAAACGTCCCTTTTTCAAGACCTTTTCAAAGATAATTAGTAAAAATCCAAATAACTTCACAGATCTTCATTGTAAAGGGTTTTAACACTGTTTCCCATGCTTGTTCAATGAACCACAAACACGCACCTGTGGAACGGTCGTTAAGACACTAACAGCTTACAGACGGTAGGCAATTAAGGTCACTAAAGAGGCCTTTCTACTGACTCTGAAAAACACCAAAAGATGCCTAGGGTCCCTGCTCATCTGCGTGAACATGCCTTAGGCATGCTGCAAGGAGGCATGAGGACTGCAGATGTGGCCAGGGCAATAAATTGCAATGTCTGTACTGTGAGACGCCTAAGACAGCGCTGCAGGGAGACAGGATGGACAGCTGATCAACCTCGCAGTGGCAGACCACGTGTAACACCTGCACAGGATTGGTACATCCGAACATCACACCTGCGGGACAGGTACAGGATGGCAACAACAACTGCCCGAGTTACACCAGGAACGCACAATCCCTCCATCAGTGCTCAGACTGTCCGCAATAGGCTGAGAGAGGCTGGACTGAGGGCTTGTAGTAAGGCAGGTCCTCACCAGACATCACCGGCAACAACGTCGCCTATGGGCACAAACCCACCGTCGCTGGACCAGACAGGACTGGCAAAAAGTGCTCTTCACTGATGAGTCGCGGTTTTGTCTCACCAGGGGTGATGGTTGGATTCGCGTTTATCGTCGAAGGAATGAGCGTTACACCGAGGCCTGTACTCTGGAGTGGGATCGATTTGGAGGTGGAGGGTCGGTCATGGTCTGGGGCGGTGTGTCACAGCATCGGACTGAGCTTGTTGTCATTGCAGGCAATCTCAACGCTGTGTGTTACAGGGAAGACATCCTCCTCCCTCATGTGGTACCCTTCCTGCAGGCTCATCCTGACATGACCCTCCAGCATGACAATGCCACCAGCCATACTGCTCGTTCTGTGTGTGATTTCCTGCAAAACAGGAATGTTAGTGTTCTGCCATGGCCAGCGAAGAGCCCGGATCTCAATCCCATTGAGCATGTCTGGTAACATTTCACAGCAAGAACTGGCAAATCTGGTGCAGTCCATGAGGAGGAGATGCACTGCAGTACTTAATGCAGCTGGTGGCCACACCAGATACTGACTGTTACTTTTGATTTTGACCCCCCCTTTGTTCAGGGACACATTATTCAATTTCTGTTAGTCACATGTCTGCAGAACTTGTTCAGTTTATGTCCCAGTTGTAGAATCTTGTTATGTTCATACAAATATTTACACGTTAAGTTTAATGAAAAAAACGCAGTTGACATTTCTTTTTTTGTTTAGGTGCAGTTTTTGTTTGAAGCCAAGGGACAGGAAACGCACCTTATTCTCGATAAGTCATGGGTCCGAGGCCTTATTGCTTTAATAAACGGTTGCAACATTTTCTTTTATTTACGAAATGTTTATTAAAAACATACTGAGTAAATTAGTTTTATTTCATCCTTCCTTACAAAATAGTCAGGGCAAAAGTTCTGAGAGTCTGAAGTTTCTAACCAAATGGGCTGGTTGTTCATTCTACCCATTCTATATGCAATGGTTGCTATGCTAAACACATCTTTGGCATGTAACTATGCAAGATAGCTACTTCTCCTTTGCTTGCTAGCCAACTAAAGCTAACACACAATCGCATCAAGCAGCTGAAATGACAGCAAACTGTACTTTCATTTGTTTAGCTTTGTTTATATTACCATTTATTTGGATGTATACATTATAATGATCCTGATAAATGAATTTGCCTGGCTCAGAGAAGCTTTCAGTCTCGTCACAGTCATATGTATGGCACGGTAGAAATCGCAAAAACTGCAACATTGTTCCACAGGTTGGAGAGGCAGACAGCAAGGTTTAGACAAACCCCAACTGTTGCAAACCAAATGCTAGCCTAGTAGCATGTGAATGTGTTGCCTAGACACTTTTTTCCCAGGGGAGATTAAGTTTATAAATTGACTAGCTGAGCTGTGGGACAGTGGATGTGCATTGATAAATCTAAATGGAACTGCTAACAGGCATTACCTAGAGAATGCGGGGATTGTGGTGCTATAACTCCCTGATATCAACCAATCAGCATCCAGACAACCCATTTTATAATTAAGCATTAAGGCCTGAGGGGGTGTGGTATATTGGCAATATACCATGGCTAAGGGCTGTTCTTAAGCACGACGCAACGCCTGGATACAGCCCTTAGCCGTGGTATATTGGCCATATACCACAATCCCCAGAGGTGCCTAATTGCTATTATAAACTGGTTACCAATGTAATTAGAAGAGTAAAAACGAATGTTTTGTCATACCAGTGGTATATCAGCATTTAGGGCTCAAACCACCCAGTTTATAATTGAAGATTACACAGAGGGTGACTTGAGGAACGTTATACTGGAGGGGGGGGGGGGTGTTTAGGGGTAGATCAGCTTATTGCAGATAGATAGTAACTTCCATCAATGTAATTAATTGTCTGCATCACTTCCAATCCCCCATGTTTTTTAAATAAATATTAAAGCCAATATATATATATATATATACTTTCCAACCCCGCCACCCTTTCCCCACTTGGTGTAAACTAGTGAACAACAACGCCTAGGCCTCTACTTCCAGCCCATACCCACTATCTACATTTTATGGACACAGTCAATTTTACAATAATTATATTTTGTTTGTTCTTTCTCCTGAACTTCTAGTCTCAACCTCTCCGATCATTTTCATGATGTCCATCAGGTTTGCTTCTATATGCCATATCTTTCTAACTGTGCTCCTTCACAAAAGCTCCCAACCTACAACCCATACACTTATTATGGACACAGCGTGCCTACATTATTAGTTATCTTGTTATTGTTTGTTGTTGTTATTAGTCCCATCCTTCAATTCCATTCAACACCTCCCATCGATCTTTTAACACCATCCATATAAGATTTCTCTTTGCCATATATATTTTAACTGTGATGTCTTACAAAAGTTCTGAACCTTTCTATTCTCATTGTTTGTACAAGGGTTTCTTTATCAATATGTGATGGATACAGTTGTTGCTAACTATCCATGTTGCTTTCATGTTTTGGTATTTGATTCAAAGTTAATTGTTCTATGGCACTACATGTCAGCACTTGTGCATTTTGTGTTCTGTTTTGTCTCTTAGAATAGATATAGCAGCTGGAATCACCTGGCACACTCTGTAGAGTCCAAAGTCCCCTTTGAGCCAGAAGAAGGAGAAGTGTCCGTATCCTGTCTGGAAGAGGTAGGCTGCCACCAGGACACGGATATGCATGTATACGGGGATGAACTGGGAAGGAAGGTTGACTTAAAACCCACACCCCTTCACTTTTACTTTACTTGTCACACATTGCAGTAATTATAATATGGTCATTTAGTTTATATTTACATTCAAAGCAATAAATGACAGACAGTGAATAGTGCAACTCACGGCGCTGGCTCCAGATATGTGATAGATGAGGATGACCAGCTGCATCCAGCCCTTCCACTCGTCGGTCTGCTCTCTGTTCAGCAGCTTGGTCTGCGTGGGAAATAGAAAATCACTGAGATAGAGGATAGAGCCTTCTCTCAGGTCAGACATGGACGATTGAGGTTAGCAGTCAATGACAACAACTTGAAATCCTCAAAACAGAAAGGTCTCTGAATTCATGTAAGCCTATGCTTACACTCACCAAAAGCAACTCCCAAAACCTCACTTTTTTAACACTCCCTTAAACATTCCATCCCAAACCCTCTCACCTCCTTGCTGTTCTCGCTGTAGAAGATCCCCAGAACAAACATATAGATGAGTGGGACGAAGAAGGTGGAGTGTGTGTAGAACTTCTGCTCCTTCATGAAGACGTCGGCCCGGTCACACAGGTAGAAGTAGACCATGATGAGGCCCATCTTACACACGGCCTGGAACGGAGCCTCGTGGCTGAGCAAAGACGCTGCCGTGGCCGGCTTCTTCTCCTCGCCGCTCTCCACGTCGGGGGGCGTGGGCCGGGACTTCCAGTGCCTGTTAATTTGTTTACATGACACTAAGCAAAATGCTTTTATCCGAAGCGACTTACAGTACAGTTAATTTTTAATTTAACCTTTATGTATATAAATGAGGTCACATTGAGATCCAGGTCTCTTTTACAAGGGAGCTCTGAAAACACAAAATAGTCCAGGTACATGCATCAGTATATGTGGCCCCAGTGGGGATCGAACCAACCACCTTGGTGTTGCTAGCGCTACGCTCTAACCGACAGCCACAGGGGAGCGTGTACCTCAGAGGAGGGTGGTGGGAGGAGCTATAGGAGGACGGGCTCATTGTAATGGCTGGAATGGAAAAAAAGGGAACGGTATCAAGCGCGTCAAACATATGGAAATCACATTTGACGCCGTTCCATTTATTCCATTTCAGCCATTACAATGAGCCTGTCCTCCACCAGCCTCCACTGGTGTACCTGTTGTGGCCCAGAGCATGGAGCACCAGGAAGACCAGGGCTGAGCCCAGGAAGATGCAGGCTGTCAGTTTCTGGAGGAGGCTGGGGGCCGGCAGGGACTGGCAGCAGGAGCCGTCGATGGGCCGCAGGACCTTGTTACACACAGCGTTCATCAGGATCATGGCACCCTGGTGGAGGATAGAGGGGGATTATAGAGCGGAAGACTCCAGCACAGTGCAAGCCTTTTCCTGGCACCGGATGAAGGGTATAAGTTAGGTTTACCAGGTGTAGGGTGAAGTTGCCCCTAGACGCAGATTTTGGGTCAGTTTTGCATTTTTCCCACTAATGGTTAAGGATGTTGGGATGGAAAGCTGATCCTAGATCTGTACCTAGGGGAAAATTCACCCTGGAGCAGGTTATCATGATCGCGCTAGCCACATGCGGCTCGTGATGTAACAGACTCGCAGGTTATCACAGTCTTAAGGTGTTGTTGTATGTACTTTGAACCTTGTCCTCAAAAAGTCTGTTTCTATAAAGTTGAGCACACTAATCTACACTGAACAAAAATATAAAGTGTTGGTCCCAAGTTCCAGGAGCTGAAATAAATAAAAAAAATCCCAATAATGTCCCATACGCACAAAAAGCTTATTTCTCTCAAATGTTGTGCACAAATCGGTTTAGATCCGTGTTATTGAGCATTCCTCATTTGCCAAGATAATCCATCCACCTGACAGGTGTGGTATATCAAGAAGCTGATTAAACAGCACTCTGTAGCTCAGCTGGTAGAGCACGGCGCTTGTAACGCCAAGGTAGTGGGTTCGATCCCCGGGACCACCCATACACAAAAAATGTATGCACGCATGACTGTAAGTCGCTTTGGATAAAAGCGTCTGCTAAATGGCATATTATTATTATCATCATCATCATCATCATCACACAGGTGCACCTTGTGCTGGGGAAAATAAAAGCCACTCTAAAATGTGCTGTTTTGTATTTATTTCAATTGACTGATTTCCTTATATAAACTGTAACTCAGTAAATTCTTTGAAATTGTTGCATTTATATTTTTGTTCAGTATACTAACTTGGCAAATACAGGTGCACATGGAGGCTGTCAAATGTTCAATGAATGAAAGTCCAAGTTATAAGGGATAGACAGTGTTATTTGACAAGGTGCTGGTTTGGAGTCATAGAGACTTATGGTTTTTCAGCACAAAACTGGTTCAAACCATACATCTTTTATTTATGTTTTCATTTTAGCCTTAAGCCAGCTGTTATTTGAATCACACAGATGCAAGAAGAGGTGCCAGGCCAGACAGACCACCTGAAACACCTACCACGTTCCGGGTGCTCTCGGGAAGGTGCAGGCCGTCAGCTGATTGGGTGATGGTTTCCATGGCAGCCTGGCGCAAGGCGCCCAGGAACCTGACTCTGGCCTTGGCATTCTTCCTGTTGCTGTTCAGAGTGCTGAGCGCCACCTCATTGTACAGCTCCAGCTGCTCGTTAGTGATCATCTTCCTGTTGTCACTTAGACCCTCCTCATGGACAGGGTCTGGAGGAGAGAGAGAGAGAGCTGCTTAATCAATATAAATTTCTCACTTTAAAAACACTCATAATTTCTCTGACTAGTGAATGAACAGTCAAGCACCAACCCTGTAAGACCCAGTAGACCTCCCCGTCCTCAGCCAGCTGTTCCAGAGGTAAGGAGATGGCTGTGAGGTTGGCTCTGTACTGCTGCAGCGCCTCGCTGCTGCCACCACGCAACTTGATGGACCACTGTGGGAAAGATTGAGATTTCAATTATGAAATTAATCTAAACTATGCAGGAGGATGTGATAAATCAGTGATATACAGAGTGGAAGACGAGCATCCTTCACTCACAGTGGCAGCTCCGATGATGACGACATCGGGTTTTATGGAAGGATCCTACAACAGTCAATAAATCCTATTAAATCTTGCAGTTCTTTGAATGACCTTAATATGGCAGTAAACTATCTGTTTATGGGAAACATAAATAGCCAAATGCGGAGTGCTCTTCTACGGGCTCAAATCAATCAAACCTACATACATCACAATATTTATACAGCAGCACTTAAATATACCCATTTTATTTACATATTGCATAGTCAAACAAAAAATGCATTGTTAAAAATCACAGGTCCAGTACCCTCACACAAGTATACACTTTCACTTGAGGACAGACGTTGAGTAAACAAAGATGTGATTCAGATTAGACATTAAATAAAAGAAATCTATGGCAGATTTGACTGAACGCTGATTTCTCCTGACAAACCCAGGGGTGTATTCACAAGGAAACGGGCCAGAAAAATGAGGGACAAACCTAAACCTGCCCAATAAGAAATGCTAATTTTCATTACTAAGCGTTTTTCAGTGCAAAACGCTTAGCAACATGTGCTCTAATGAATACACCCCAGGTCTACTGGTTAAATGTGCTTCTCTTTACCTCCCTCCATGATATCAAGCGCTCCTTCAGAGAGTTATTCACTTCTGCATACCACAGGAAGTCCTATCAGCAAAACAGGAAACAATCGCTCTTATTGGGACAATCCCAAAAATTAAAATACATGCCATTGGCCTTGAACTAAAAAATTTTTTATAGAGGCGAATCTACAGAGTGAAATTTAAAAAATAAATGTTTGGCTTTTACATTGCTATTGTTGACTGACAGACACAGAGAGATACATAAATAGCTCACCACATTGACTGAAGCGCTCCGATCTTCAAAGGGAATGTTATTGTGCTGGTGGACAGACATCACAACAGGGGATAAAACAGTCAATGTCCCTCTATCCAAGATTAGACCATTGCTGTCATGACTGAGAGTGCAGCAATTGCCTATCCCATTTCAGGAATATAAATTGTTTATATGCACTTAGGGCTGAACCCCAACTTAACTCAGACCTTTGAGCAATCATGTATTGATGTCAATGGGAGCCTTGTGGGAAAATGAGTCACGGGCAGAGACCTCAAATTAGGATTCAGCCCAAAGCTCACAGATTCATGGTGGGATTAATGTGTGCTTTATGCCAGGGGGACTAAGCCTACCTTTCTTCCATCCTCTCTTTGTGCAGGATCGATTATTTGAATGTATGAATAGAATAGCTGCCGTATTCTGGAATCACCAACGAATGCCACCCTTTTCTCAGCAAGGCAAGTCTTTGCTTCCCTGTGGGGGTAAAAATAACCTAGTGAATCACTTGCACATAGTAACAACTGAAATGTGTTTTTTTGCAATTGTGGGGTTGTCGGCTTGGTTAAAGATGCCATCTAAAATTTTACACACGCACATTACATATTCCCCTCATGGGTGTGACTCACATGTTTTTGTATTTGTGCATCATACAGCCATAGGGCTGCCATACGGTCTCTCCTAGGTACCGCCCACTGGATAGCAGCCACTCACATGTGTCTCCACCTGAGGGGACGACAGAACATCCCAGTAAGGCATTAAAAAACAACAGGGATAAATAAAACCTGCTGCCTCTAGTCTTGGTCAAAAGTTGAGAATGACACAAGTATTGGTCTTCACAAAGTTCGCTGCTTCAGTGTTATGAGATATTTTTGTCAGATGTTACTATGGTATACTGAAGTATAATTACAAGCATTCCATAAGTGTCAAAGGCTTTTATTGACAATTACATTACGTTTATGCAAAGAGTCAATATTTGCAGTGTTGACCCTTCTTTTTAAAGACCTCTGCAATCCGCCCTGGCATGCTGTCAATTAACTTCCGGGCCACATCCTGACTGACGGCAGCCCATTCTTGCATAATCAATGCTTGGAGTTTGTCAGAATTTGTGGGTTTGTGTCCACCCGCCTCGTGAGGATTGACCACAAGTTCTCACTGGGATCAAGGTCTGGGGAGTTTCCTGGCCATGGACCCAAAATGTTGATGTTTTGTTCCGAGCCACTTAGTTATCACTTTTGCCTTATGGCAAGGTGCTCCATCATGCTGGAAAAGGCATTGGTCGTTACCAAACTGTTCTTGGATGGTTGGGAGAAGTTGCTCTCGGAGGATGTGTTGGTACCATTCTTTATTCATGGCTGTGTTCTTAGGCAAAATTGAGAGTGAGCCCACTCCCTTGGCTGAGAAGCAACCCCACACATTAATGGTCTCAGGATACTTTACTGTTGGCAAGACACAGGACTGATGGTAGCGCTCACCTTGTCTTCTCTGGACAAGGTGTTTTCCGGATGCCCCAAACAATCGGAAAGGGGATTCATCAGAGAAAATGACTTTATCCCAGTCCTCAGAAGTCCAATCCCTGTACCTTTTGCAGAATATCAGTCTGTCCCTGATGTTTATCCTGGAGAGAAGTGGCTTCTTTGCTGCCCTTCTTGACACCAGGCCATCCTCCAAAAGTCTTCGCCTCACTGTGCGTGCAGATGCACTCACACCTGCATGCTGCCATTCCTGAGCAAGCTCTGCACTGGTGGTGCCCCGATCCCGCAGCTGAATCAACTTTAGGAGACGGTCCTGGCGCTTGCTGGACTTTCTTGGGCGCCCTGACGCCTTCTTCACAACAATTTAACCTCTCTCCTTGAAGTTCTTGATGGTCCGATAAATGGTTGATTTAGGTACAATCTTACTAGCAGCAATATCCTTGCCTGTGAAGCCCTTTTTGTGCGAAGCAATGATGACGACACGTGTTTCCTTGCAGGTAACCATGATTAACAGAGGAAGAACAATGATTTCAAGCACCACCCTCCTTTTAAAGCTTCCAGTCTGTTATTCTAACTCAATCAGCATGACCGTGATCTCCAGCCTTGTCCTCGTCAACACTCATCTGTGTTAGGAGATAATCACTGACATGATGGCAGTTGGTCCTTTTGTGGCAGGGCTGAAATGCAGTGGAAATGTTTTTTTTGGAGATTAAGTTCATTTTCATGGCAAAGAGGGACTTTGCAATTAATCTGATCACTCATGACATTCTGGAGTATATGCAAATCGCCATCAAAACTGAGGCAGCAGACTGACACAAATACTAATTTTCACACTCAACTTTTGACCACGACTAGTCGTTTTCAACACTGCAAATGCAGCCGTGTGCACAAAGCATGGTTCCGCCAAGACAGCATTGCAGCCTGCGGTACAAATTAATCCATTAACATTTTCCATTAAAGCACATCTCCTGGCGTAAACTTGTGTTCTAATTGAATAGACCCATCTGTTGCTTGTGGAATGTTGTCCCACTCCTCTTCAATGGCTGTCCAAAATTGCTGGATATTGGTGGGAACTGGAACACACGTCGATCCAGAGCATCCCAAACATGCTCAACGGCTGACATGTCTGGGGAGTATGCAGGCCATGGAAGAACTGGGACATTTTCAGCTTTCAGGAATTGTGTACAGATCCTTGCGACATGGGGCCGTGCATTATCATGTTGAAACATGAGGTGATGGCGGCGGATGAATGGCACGACAACGGGCCTCAGGATTTCATCATGGTATCTCTGTGCATTCAAATTGCCATCGATAAAATGCAATTGTGTTTGTAGCTTATGCCTGCCCATACCATAACCCCACCATGGGGCACTCTGTTCACAATGTTGACGTCAGCAAACCGCTCGTCCACACACGCTGCCTGCCATCTGCCCGGTTCAGTTGAAACCGTGATTCATCCGTGAAGAGCCCACTTCTCCAGCAGCCATCGATGGTGAGCATTTGCCCACTGAAGTCGGATACAACGCCGAACTGCAGTCAGGTCAAAGCCCTGGTGAGGACGACGAGCACCCAGATGAGCTTGCCTGAGACAGTTTCTAACAGTTTGTGCAGTAATTCTTCGGTTTTGCAAACCCAGTGTCATCAGCTGTCCGGCTGGCTGGTCTCAGATGATTCCACAGGTTAAGAAGCGGGATGTGGAGGTCCTGGGCAGGCGTGGTTACACAAGGTCTAAGGTTGTGAGGCCGGTTGGACGTACTGCCAAATTCTCTAAAGCGACGTTGGAGGCGGCTTACGGTAGAGAACATTCAATTATCTAACAGCTCTGGTGGACATTCCTGCAGTCAGCACACCACTTGTATGCTCCCTCAACTTGAGACATCTGTGGCATTGTGTTTTGTGACAAAACTGCACATTTTAGTGGCCTTTTATCCCCAGCACAAGGTGCACCTGTGTAATGAGTATGCTGTTTAATCAGCTTCTTGATATGCCACACCTGTCAGGTGGATGGATTATCTTGGCAAAGGATAAATGCTCATTAACAGGGATGTAAACCAATTTGTGCAGAAAACTTGAGAGAAATAAGCTTTTTGTGCATATGGAATATTTCTGGGATTTTATTTCAGCTCATGAAACCATCACTTTACATGTTGCATTTATATTTTTGTTCAGTATAGTTCAAACAATGGCTGTATATATGAAGACTTCAATACACATGACAGTTACCTCGTTAGTTAGCAAGTTATCGCGTGCGGCTACAATATGTAAACATTGGTTAGTTCGTGACGACGCGATTCCTCTCTGATGCTACTGTATCCAGCAGTATCCACCTGCACTGAAACAATGTAGCTAGCTAATGTTAGCTACCTTAGTTAATTCAGGCTACTGCACGTTTAGTCATGTTTCCTTGCAATTACCATCCCGTTGTAAGATTTAGCAAACGCCCTAATAGTGAGCAAAAAGGTCCCGAGGGAAGGTCACTTTAGTTTACTAGCTAGCAACCTACAAGTTCCGCTAGTTAGCTAACAATATATCTAGAAGCAAGTCACTTACCTCCATAATACCGAGAAACGGTGTGAAACATGGTGAGTAGAATGACGGCAGCGAGAGATAATAATTTAGCATTTTTAATGCTAAAATACTGATTTATTTCCCGCTTGCCTAGGCTATAGGCCAGGATCGCCATCTTGGCTCCTCCATGACAACAAGCAGACAGATATGATGCAGCGGAGTGGTAGGGGGCTGAGTACACTGGCGCGTCCACGACTCCGAATTCTGCCACTGGTGTTGTGTGGGGCATGGCTGGTGCGGGCTTTTCCGATGCTGCACCTGCCACCTCCTGCATCTGCTTTTCACCTTCCATCATCAATGCAAACCTGGCTTAAATCAATCAGTAGTACAATTAGAGGATCCTGAAAACGTATCCTGAAAACTCTTATCAACTGTTTGAATTGTATTAATTGTGTGTCATCATTCCGCTCCTGGAACTATATATTGTGGTGATTTGACTTTGATTGTCATGGGTTTTTGATATTAGCGTAAAGACAGTAAAGGGATTGGCTGCAGCTGCTACATTAAAGATCTGAGATAACAAGGCAGGACATGGCCGGACTTGGCTAGACTACCAAAAGCACTCATAAAACAAATAAAGCACTCACTTGCTTCCACTGTTAGTCTAGGAACGCCTTCAAACTGTTTCCCTATAAATGGTCCTAGAACCTGTGATAGGAAAATATGTTACAGTAGATCCACAATATGTAGCCTAGGTCTAGATCAGGGATGCGGAACTGGCGGCGTGGCGGCCGGCGGATCAACCCCTCTCAAAAAATACGGTTGATTCAGAATAGTACAAAACACAAAGTGCGATTTCAAAATGTTGTGCATCTGCAGTATTTAACTTGTTGACAGTCACTCAAGTAGCCCATGTCAGCAAACATTTTTTCGATTGGTAAATTAGTCCAGCCAGCTATCTAAACTTGTAGTAATCATGGTCGATCCCCAGAGAGAAAACTTGTATAGAGAAGACGGAAGACAAAGCTGGAAAGTATAGGGTTGATTTTCTTCTTTGTTTTTATGGCGAACTACACGCATAAAGGTGTATTGTCGCCACCAACTGTGCGGGATGAAAATAAAAGATCCCAAAAGACAAACTTGATGTAGATAGAAATACTCATACTAGCTAGGTTTCCATCCAATTGCTCTGACATGCACTGGCAACTGTGGGACTTTAAATAGACAGGTGTGTGCGTTTCTAAATCATGTCCAATCAATTGAATTTACCACAGGTGGACTCCAATCAAGTTGTAGAAACATATCAAGGATGATCAATGGAAACAGGATGCACCTGAGCTCAATTTCGAGTCTCATAGCAAAGGGTCTGAATACTTATGTAAATAAGGTATTTCTGTTTTTATTTTTAATAAAAGTGAGAAGAAAATTCTAAAAACCTGTTTTCACTTTGTCATTATAGGGTATTGTGTGTAGATTGATGAGGGAAATAAATAATTTAATCAATTAAAAAATAAGGCTGTAAAGTAATAAAATGTAGAAAAAGTCTAGGGTTCTGAATACTTTCTGAATGGACTGTATTGTATTAAAAGCACATATTTTTCGCATTATTCACACACTCAGAATTCGCAGCTTCAACTTCTGTAGCCTACCTCTCCTAGTCGGGAGTGAGAGTTCAAGTACGCCTTGT